TTGGATTGATTTTACAATTTTACAAGAATAAAAAACGAATAAAAAACTATCAAGTACAATCGAATAAAGGATATAAACCTGTTACCGGCTTGAAAATGAAAGTCAATAAAGCGCAGTAAAGAAAACACAATAATATTATACGTAAATGAAAACATGAATTACTCATTAATTTTTTCTAATTTACGAGAAGAGCAAACTAATAACTCGGCAACTATAAATCAATTATAATGAAACTTGGAAGAAGACAAGACAAAGTTGACCACAAAAAGAAAATTGTTTCTTCTTTGAACAAAAATTTCCGTGTATGGCTTATGAAGGAGATATACTCAAGAGTGGAAAGTTGTAAATTTTTTTTTTTAAAAAAATTAATAAATAAATATAAACAGTAATATAGCGGGGAACTTCTTAATTTGGTTTAAAATTAAAAAGTTGTCAATAAGCACCAAATAGGAAATTTAAATGGGAACCATTATTGTGGTCACGTGCTTTGTGTGATTAATTGGTTGATGAAATCGGTGACAATGGTAGTAATCTAGAAATTTATTTATCTTTCAATGTCATATATGTATGCAAAGTTACAAAGTTACATAACGTGTATAACGTGTTGAAATGATGATGTTTTATTCAAAAAAAAAAATATAATAATAAAAAATGATAAAAAAAAAAAAAAAAAAAAAAAAAAAAAAAATCGTTTAATTTTAAAAAATTAAATAAAAAAAAAAAATCCGGAATTAAAAGAACAATAAATATAAAATAAAAATAAAATAAAATTATAAAATAAAGCCAAATATACTAGCGATACATTTGGAGTGAATTTCATGATCTATGAATCAAGCAATTCGAATAGCTCTTTGTCAGCTAAACTCGTCCCTGAATGTTCGTAAAATTTAGGTGAAGCAGGAGCGACTTCAATAAGTTCACTAAACGAATGCCGATCCTCAAAAGGAGCGGTGGTTTGATCTGTTTGATTGACATCATAACCAGATTCTACACCTGTCGCCCGCGACGGTGAAACATTTATGCTTCTTTGATTATAATTAATTTCCTTCATATGCTTATCCATAACGAAAAAAGTGTTTGGTGTATACAAAGATTTAATATCATTTGCTAGTTTTACATAATAGTCTTTTGTTTCTGATGATTCTTCTTTCCAAAAGTTACTTGCGATCATGGATAATTCGTTCATAGGAGGTAACTGAATGTTTTTACGAAGATACTCTTCACGTAATTCCATTCTATACAATATAAAAGCGTTTGGTGATCTTCCTTTTGGTATTTTGGATTTACGTAATTTTTCGAGGTGAACGTCTTTTGTTAAAGAAGGTGGGAATGATGGTTTGATAACATTCTTTAAAGGAGTTTTAAACATGATTACAGTAAATTTTCTATGAAAGAAACTAAAATGTAAATATGATATAAATCAAAGTAATTAAAATGAGAAATATATTTTTTAAGAAAAAAAAATATATACTTTATTTATAATAAAAATTGATTCCATTAATTTTTCGAATCTGGTAAAAGATGATTTAGTTTCCAATTACAAAGCACACAATGTCACACGTTGTCAACCTTATGGGTCACGAGAATGGTAACACATTTTATCATTTTCGTTTTACTAAATTTAATACTAGGGAACCCAAAAAATAAAGTAACACTGATTTTTATATTATCACATGATCATGCAATATTGATTGTTACACCTGATCACGAAATTTGATTGGGAATTTTCACATAGTGACAGACAGACATTGCATGGTCTTGAGTGTACATAATATTCCTCCGCTACGCTTCGGACAATTACTATCGACTGATTAAACATGAATCCTTTTTATTAGTTATTGTAACTTTCCTTCCTTCGCTTTAAACAGCTCAATCGTTATTATCTTCATCCTAGTCAGTTTATATTTATTCAATACATCATAATTGCAGAAAAAACTTTATTTTTTTTAATTTTTTAATCCAGATAAAATTTTCGTGTTACATTAATATTTTTGTATGAAACTTGAGTATTCTCCTGAAATGTTAAATATAACATCAACTCAAAATAGTAAAATATATGCGTTCACAGACTGACAATAAACACAAACAATGTTATTTTACAAATTTTTTTTTTTTTTTTTTTTTTTTTTTTTTAAAAAAATTTAAAAAAGATGATTAATTACATACAATAAAGGAATTTTATTTATTTTTGGCAAGTCAAATTTAACGAATGCATTGATTTTCTTTGTTTTAAAATTCTCAGATTATCATCATAATCTTGCACAAAAAAAAAAAAAAAAAAAAAAAAAATTTTCTTTTGTTTATTAACGTTAATAAACATTTAATAAATTTTCCTGACCCCCCCCCCCCCCACAATCCTTCCTAAATAGTAGGTGTTTAAAACACAACATTAGGATAAATCATATCTAATGTTGTATTAACCATGGGCTTGCATGCATATGACGCACTTCTCTAAATACCATGTAAAAAAAATTTTAGGTCGTGCCAAGGCACATTCTGCAATTCGTCTGTAAAGGAATCGACTATAACCTATAATCGTAGTATGTAATAGGTCAACATTTTGAAATATAAAGAGAAATAATCTAATTGAAGGATAATTTATTTATCACACAAATCTATTTATCGATCTAATTAATGTTTGATGATATATCGGGTACCAGGTCAGGTGTTATTTTGTTAGTTCTCCTTCGTTTTAAAAAATATTTTTATTTTTATTTTTTTTTTTAAACAAATAAATTGTCTCATTCGGAGTTTTATATTTCAATTCCTAACAAGTGATGTCGTATGTTTGCCACATGCATATGCAAAACTACAAACATATGTGGGACTAAGTTTGTTACCGGTTCCACAACTTATGGTCATAGCATCAAATTAAAAAAAAAATTTGTCGCCGTAAATTATGAATCTCGAATTTTGGAATATTCGGAAAATACAAAAGAAATCAACAATTTCATTAATTAAACAGTTGAGTAAAAGCGAAGGTACATTTTATTTAATAATTTATATTCCGACATTTCTTTATTTTCGTTAGCTTTGCCTTTCAAGCAAAGAAACGATACGTCATTAACCGAAATAAAGGACATACAACCGATATTACTTTGTTGATGTGGTTCAAAAATTTTGATCTAGGTAAAAAATATCAAGGAGTACTTGTATTGGCTAAAAGTAACAAACAACTCTTGGATCATGACAAGAAATTTTTAAGTAAACATTCGTAATGTGATATAGATTTACGGGGGAAGAAATTGATCACCCTGTGTAGGAAAAAAAAAGGTGCCGCCGAATATACTATGCAAAAAAATTCTACGATTGAGATCAACCTCGCAGAATTCTTCAATCAAATAAGCAAATAAGCTTACTCCCTTCCATCTGTAACAAAACAACTTTTGTTTGTAATTTTATTTTAATGTGGGGTATACATAATTTCAACCATCTCCATTTAACATTTTGTGATAAACATAGGATGCATCAACTGTCTCACGCGTCTGTTTCAAGAATCTTTTTTTTTTGCGTTCTATATAATTTGACGATAAGAGTTAACGTTAATACTATACGATATTTGTCATTTTATATGAGATTAAAGCGATTGTAAATTTATGTTAGGTTTGTTAGATTAGAAAGCATCTTTAATGAGAGGGGAGATTTATTCATTTATTTTATTTAATATTTTCATTTCGAGTCTGTTACTTTATCTTCCTATCTGAAAAGAAAAACATCACAAAAAAAGAAATTGGAAATTTAAAATTTTTAAAATGTAAACCTCTAACGAATTTTATTTTATTATTTTATTTTTTTTAATTAAATTAGACCTTTTAAATAGAAGGGTGAGAAATAAATCTAACAGGTGGTTCTTAAAATCAAATGAATGAATATTTAAGCGGGGAATTTCAAAATTCACAGAATCATATCCACTCATTTACACGTGATAATATGAGACCTTACAAAAGGGGGAAAAATAAAATCATATTTTGCATATAAAAGTTAATATTTTTATTCCGGCGGAATCCTTTATCTATTTATCGTTGTATTAATCTAATCAATTCGTTATTATTAATTTATTAAACTCAAGATTATAATGATTCTATTTTTATTTTTTTTTTTTTAAAAAAAAAAGTAATAATGTAACAAGCCAAGCAAGAAAAATACGCGCGAATCGTAAAAGCTTTAACAAAAAAAAACAAAATGAATTTGATTGCGTCATCAATATGCAGTTTCATTGACTGACTGTGTTGAATCTAAGATCGAATGTCGTGAAAACTCAATTGTAACTGTTTAACAAATAGGAGGTTTGCCATTAAAATCGAGTTACGAACGAGCATAGTAAATAACGTGATTTTAATAACAAACCTCCCAAATACCCGAAATTAATTCTGGCCGGCACTATAATAATAATGAGTAGATTTAATTTCCGGAATAAATTTGAATTTGACCTAAAATTAAGAAAATTTGCCGAATTTATATGCTAGAAATTTATGTATTAGCGTTAGTAAAACACAAATAATTACAATATTACCTTTTCAAAAAAAAAAAATATTCACTATGCTCTGGTTGTTCCTTCAACTCATCTGAACCCAGGTATAATGTGCTTCTTACAGTACATTATAATTTCGGATGACCTATTTTGTCTTCTTTTTAAAAGATTTTTCCGAATTAATTTAATTAATTGAGGTGTCAAATTACATTGGATATCAAATAAAATATTCATTAATAATTTTTGCCGATGAACGAATTTTATTGTTACGTTCTTTATTTAAAATCTTGTCATTCAGTCTGTTTGATAAAAAAAAAAAAATAGAAATATGTTGTGCGTCAGACGTCAGATGTCGACTGGTACATTACCGATCATTATTATATTTCGACAACTGACGTAAATCGACCATAAAAAAAAATAAAAAAAAAAATTTATAATTTATTAAAATTTGATTTTATTTATTTTTTTTTTTTGCTACAGAAAATTAAAGAAAAAAAGATGTAATGATTATTTAAACTTTTAATCAAATATGGCAACGACACTTGGTTGTCCAGAATTTTTTAAGAAACCCGAAGAACTAGCAAAACGTACAGTTGATGCCGGATGTAGAAGTTTCTAATATTACATAGAGACGATGATTGTTTATTTGAACAGATCGCTTAAAATAAATATTAAAAATCAAAGTATAGATTCAATTAATTTATTAAAAAAATTTGATTCTTTTAGAATATGGAGTTTCATTTTTTAATTTCATCAATTAAATTTTTAAAAATATTTAAACAAAAGAACAATGCGAAAAAAAAAAAAAATTTCTATTAAATCTAATTAAAAGGGGAAAGGAAATTATTTTAAAAAAAATTCCACCAAATTCGAGCTTTATTGTCAAATAGGAAAACATTGGGGTATTAAATAAGTGGATCATAAGAACCTAAGGAAATCTAGTATCGCCAGACCTCTTAAGAGGAACTCTAACTACCTAGCTTCTGGCCCCAAATACACCCATCTATGATGGAAGGCACTGTCGCAACTAGGCTGACCAACCAAACATAAACGAATGTATTTAAGCATTTTCTTCTCGAGCGGGCCACCCATTAGCACTAACCAGAACTCTAGGTCAGATTTCCCTGATAAACGTTTTGTTTAAGTACACCAATAAGGGAATAGACAGACTGGGAGCCCATTGCCAGCAGATACGGCCCTGTATGTACTAGGTATCTTCACCACTTGCTATTTAAATCCCGATGTACATATAAGAACAATAAAACTCGAACTGAAAATGAAGGGAAGTAATAGGGACCGTAATAAAAAAAAATATATTAAATGAACTAAAGAAAATAAGGAATTATTTGTTAAATAATTGTTAAAGATTAAAAAGTAAAGCATAACATAATGAATACTCACAATCGTCATCGTATTATTAATTCAACTCATGGTAAAATTCTATTTTGCCATGTCGTTCTCGATTTCGTCACTGGTTTTTAGACCGCTATACATTATTTCAAATAGAGAAATTATAGTTTAGTTGAAGAGGATTATCGCGTGAAATTTTTTTTTTTTTTTTTTGTAAAGATCATCACCTAAACCCAACTTCCACCAATAATACTCAACCATGTTGTAGATTACAAAACATTTACATTAATAGCATCAAAACAAACCCCTTCAAAACGGCGAAAAGACGACTAACCGGCAGGACTTCGCATAGCAATAACATTGTTTAACGTCACACAGAAAGGAGCGAAAGACGTAGAATATCATCACTGCATAATATACAATAAAAAAAGGAAATAAATTAAATAAACCTAAAATTATTGGATAAAGCTATTCATTTATAGTAACACTCCAAACCCTACTTCACAACGCAAAGAGACTACTAACCGGCAGGACTTCGCATAACAATAGCATTGTTTAACGTCACACAGTAAGGAGCGAGAGAACATCACTATATAACAGAAAAGAGGAAACCGCGTAAAAGAATATAAAAAATAACATGAACCAAAAGCCTTGGATAAAAAGTTACAAACATCCTAATATAAATATTTAGTAGATATTTTGCCGTAAAAAGGAAGGGAGAACTCCCTGCGTACAATTTTAAGAAAAAAAAAATGGAAGGAAAGCGTAAAGAGTAAAGACAATATTAAATAAATTTAAATAAAATAAAAAATTACAAGATTTCGATTTTTTTTCTTGGAAATTTGACTTCTTGAAAGTTAGAACGGGTGTAAAACGCGATTGACCCGAGTATTTAAGTTTGATCAATGAAAGATTAATTACCTCATTTTTTTTTCACATTTCGCCCACCCTCTTTTCATGGGAAAAAAATGTTATATCTCACCCTCTTTTTTATGAGAAACCACCTGATGTATTTATCCTTTTTAAATTTTTACACATGTCTAGATTTCAAAGTATCGAATCCAAAAAGTATTTATATTGTTAGATTAATCTATAATAAAGCAACGATTATATTATTGTGATATGTAAATTACAAACACGTAACTTATCAATATCAAATAATATAATAAACAAATGAGTTGGTAAAAAAAAAAAAAAAAAAAAAAAAAAAGAAAAAAAAAACCTGTTCATATTTATGAAAATGGATCGTTTCACAACATTATTTGCCAAGTGGTAGTATTCTATACTGTATAAAAATATTCAATATATTATTACAGTATAATATAAATAAAAATGATCCAAGTTAAAAAAATCACATTATTAGCTAAATATATACATCATCATTTTATTATTTCATTATTAATGTATTTTTATTGTCACACAAAATAAAATATCGAAGAGTAACAGGTGAAACATTTATTGAATTGACAAAGAACTCGTTGTTTGTCATATTTTATTAGTTATGCATGTCAATTTAATTTATTTATGTCATCATTATTTTCGGGTATATATTTATCCGATAATACGATGATTTTCTCAGTTAGCAAGAATATTATTAATACTTTGCATTTCAATGCATTTTACCTTATTATTGGATTTTACGAAGTGAAATTCCTTTTTTACTCTTCCTCGTTTTTAGGAAAAGTATTTTCATAAAATTGTAAGCAAACCATCTGTTACCGCGCGCTATTTTGACGCCGGAGATAATGTTAAGGCCGATCGATACAGGTTGCGTCCTTTGGAAGGCTGATTAAATCGCAGTCATCCAGTCGGTCTTTGATATAATTGACCATGGCCGTCAACGCAATATAAATTTTATAGCTAAAATCTACTCGGGGAAGTGAGTGAGTGAATCTACTAAATAAGAAAGAATATTCTAGCAATCGAATTATAGTTCCGTAATAAGAAATAGTGTGGAGAAGATCGCTGTTGACGCTTATTGCGTGATGAAGGATTTTATCTACAACGTAGTGTGTAACGGAGAAAAGAAGTCAAATATTTTTAATGGTTCCTGTAAAGCAAGTGTGTAAGGATTATCACAGAATTTGCAACCTGGAAAGATTTCTTTAAATGAGGTATAACGTATTCTGAAGGAGGGTACGTGCTTCTAATTTTATATTTGTCATAATACTAATCTACTTAATGAATTAACTAAATTTACTATTTTATGTCAAAGAGACAAAGAAAGCGAAGGTCAGGAACTATATTAGCGTTCGACAAAAAGTAAATGGTATGATTTATTCAGCGAACTAGTTTACCCAATGAGAGAGAAAATCATCTCAACCTAACTGGATTGCAGACATCAAAAATTTTCAGACAGCATTGTCATAAAATCAATATCCGTAAAAAAGATGGAGGCAAGAAGCTTAGCAATTTAGGGTTAGTTAAAAAGGATGGCGCAAAAATAACGAATCCCGTGAAATTAAAAAAATATAGTAATGAATGGGAGTAGAAATATTGGTAGATGGGTATTGGAAGCTGGGAAACAAGAGATTATGAAAAAATCAGAAAATTTCGAAAGAAATTCGTTCGTTTGCAGGTATGCTCTATTTTTCATTGGCTTATTCTACCATCTTTGAAGATTTTCTTCATCTTTCCGTGATAAAATCTAATACAGTGTATTTGTAGGATCCGTTGATAAAGCATTGCTGCGCTTGTTTTAAAATAAAGCCTTTTGCTAAATTAATAGCCGATTGATGAACGTTCAAGAAATGCATAGTTAGTCTCTACCACATCTTTAAAATAACTTTTCCATTGAAATAGCAAAACGACAATGGATGCTTCAATCTAGATCATCAAATGAAGTTTTATTGCTTTCAAAGTTACTTGGTCAAGAATGTTGTAAGGTATGCTAGTTGATTTCTCATAAAATTTCTACCTCCGTAAGATTAAAATTTTCATTATAGGTTTAACTGTGCTGAATTATGCTTCTCTTCTTTTTTAATTTGTTTTAAAAAAACGTAAATGATTATTATTTTTTTTTTAATATGATGCACTAGATCAATATTACTCGGGTGAGTCTTGCAACAGCTGTTGATTTACAAGATAATTCAACACAAAAAAATTATTGATTACAAATTTAACTAACTTACTTACTAATTTATCAAATATAGAATCAAAATTGCATTTGCACCTCTTTCTTCTTTATAGCCATAATAATCCAGAAAATAGTAGTAAGAGTTATACAGATTACAAAATGCATTAGAATTAGTCTGTAAGAAAGTAAGTCAAAAGTCGTTTGTTTGCTACTAGATTAATAAAGTATTTGATTTATTTATCTGTATAATTAATTTTTAAAAAATTTCATATAATGAAAACTTGAAGAATTTATTTTAAGAATTTGCGCTTATTGTATATTAATATAAATATAAAAGGATTTAGATACTTTGGTAAAATCATTAATTAAGAGAATAAAGATTAATATTAAATGAATTTTATTTAACTAAGTAAATGATAATAATAAAGGAATAAATAAATATGAAATAAAAGGATAAAGAAATAAAGAAAATGAATAAGAAAAAAAGGAATGAAAAGAAAAAATTAATAATTTTTATTAAAAAAAAAAGATGAAAAGATATAAAGAAGATATAGAAATAGAAAATGAAAAGTATAAATAATAAAATTAAAAATTAAAGAAAGTAATAATAAGAAGTATAATAAAAAAGAAAAAAGCAAATTAAAATAATAAAAATTAGAATAATTAAAAAAATATAAAATAAAAAAATAATATTTTAAATATAAATCTATTAAGCTTTTTAATACTTAAAATAATATAATATAAATTTTTCTACTTTAAACTTTTTTTTAATAAAAAACTATAAAAATAAATTTTCAATTTATAAAATTACCATTTAATAAATATACATATAATTTAATAAAAAAATTTAATTTATTAAAAAATAATATAAGTTTAATTTATTTAAATAGAAATATATAAATTTATAGTTAAAAAAAGGATGGAAATTTTTATAATAAATTAAAGAAAATTGCTAGAAAAAAAATTAATTACTTTTATATATTAAATATAATTTTTAAATTAAATATGTTTAGATTTAATATTAATTATTTTTTAAAATAAAATAAAAGATATATATATAATTTATATTATATAATTAATTTTATTTTTTTTTATAATATTAATTATATAATATATAAATTATTTATTTAAATTAATTCAAAAATATTTATTTAATGTAATTAAATTTAAAAGTATTATAATTAATAAAAAATAATTATTTGATAAATTTAATTAGTAATTTAAATTTAATAAAAAATTTAATTATATCGATATGTTTTAATATTTTAAAATGATAAGTTTAAATTTAAAATATTTGAAGCTTAAATAATTAAATTTAATTTTATAAGTAATTAAGTTTTATAATAAAGTATATTTAAAATATAGATTTTAAAAAAAGTTTAATTAAATCAAAAATAGTTATTAAATATTAGTTATATATTTTAAAATTTTTAAAATTTTGATTAAAAAACTTTATAATAATAATATTTAATAAATATAAAACTTATTAACTTATTTAAATAAATAAATTTAATAAATATGAAAATAATATTTTGAATTTTTTATATTAAAATATTTGTAATATATATATATATATATTTTTAAGATGTTAACTTAAATAATTTATACTTAAATTAAATTATTTTCTATATAAAAATATAATATTATAAAATTTTATTAATATATAGGAATTCCTATAATAAAAGGAGGGATGGGATTTCTAACTATATGCTTAATATGCTAAATCTTTTTGGAAATATGTATTTTCATTTATAATATACTAATAAAAATCTCAGTAATTGTTAAGATTAATCATATAATTTAAGCTATTAATTTTTAAAGGCACGTGATTTTCCATTCATACTTTTTATTATAAAAGTTTCTATATTTTAAATTAATTAATTATTTATTTTAATTTTAATATTAAAATAATTTATTTTAAATTAAATTTAAATAATAAAAATATTATATTAATAATGTACTTTAATATAATATTATATTTATATATTTTTTAATATTAATTATAAAATATATTAAAACAGTTAACCTATTTTAAATACATCTTTTGTAATATATTATATATTTTCTCTTAAATATATATTTTTAAAATTTTTACTGTAATTTTATGAAAAATGTATTTAAAAAGGTCTGTAATATCTATTAATAAATTTATAAAATTAATTTAATTGTATTTTAACTATTATTATTATACTATAATTCAAAATTATATTTTTAATTCAAATTATAAATAATAAATTTATTAATTTAAAAGATAATTATACTTTTAATATTAATTTATAATAAAAAATATTTTTTTAAATTAATATTAAATTTAAACTTAATATACTAAAAACTATATTTAGTATATAAAGTTTTTATAGTTATTTTTTATTTATTTATATTTAATTTTAAATATTTTATAAAAAGTTTGAATAATATAAATTTAAAAATATTTATAATTTATATTTTAATAGTACTTTTTTTTTTATTGCAATACATTTATATTTTTATTTACTAAGTTAAATTAATAATTTTTAGCTTATTAAAATTATTTAATTAAAATAATTCAAATAATAATTTTATAAAATTTAACTAAAATAAATTATTTTAAATTTTTTACTTTATTTTTTATATTAATAAATTATAATATAAATATTAGAGTAAATTTATTCATTGCAAACATGATATCATTACTTTCTTTTTATCACCTGTGTTACATCCCTCCCTCCCTTTTTCATTTTTCATATATATTCTGAGAACTTAGAAATTTTTCATGTGTAAACCTTATTTATTACATATATTAGTGTCATATAGTTTAGAATTAAGTTAGGGTTAGGGTTAGAATAAGGTATATATATAAAGGCAATGTATAAGAAGTATCACTCTACTGCGATAAATAAATTTACTCAATATTATATTATATTTATAATTTAAATTATATTTAAAAAAATATAATATTTTAATATATGCATTTAAATATCAATATTTAAATTTATATAAACTTATATCCAAATTTTATACAAATTTATAATTTATATTTACTCATATATATTGTATCCTAAATGCATTAATATCTAAAATATGCATTTAGAATATTTTAAATAGAAATACATAATAGGAATATCTTAAATGTGAAAATCATTTATGATATTTACTTGTCTCAAATACATATTTATTTTAAATGATCATTTTAATTTTTCAATAGTATATATTATAGATAATAATCATATTATATATATTTTATTCAATAATAAAATTGTAAATTCTAATAATAATATTAACAAAAATATTCACTTATAATTAGTTCTAATTAAGAAAATATAGATAAAATATTTTATTTAACTTATATTAATATTAATCACAAATAAATAGCTAGTATATATAATAAATTATGTAATAAATAAAGTAATATTAATAAAAATTTAGTTGCATATTATTGTAAAAATTATTCTATTTATACAATTCATATTAATAAAAAATTTTAATAATAAAGTAGCAAGAAAAATTATTATTGTTAAAAATTTTTTATCTCATTTATAAGTAAATATATTAATTATAATATTTGTTTTAAAATATTAAAATATTAATTATTTATTATAAATTTAGATAGAATTGATTGATTTTAAAAGATTTTTTAATGAAAATTTTACATATTAAAGATCATTTTACTTGATTTACTTAGGTTTATTATCTTTATTTTAAGAAAACTAATACATAGTATTAAAATTATTTAA